TCTGTCTCCATGCCTGCAGAGCTGACACACCGAGGACCACAGCCAGGCTGGTGTCTGGGGGCACATGCCTATTTGCACCTGTGCACAGCGCAGTGGTACTCCGCCTGAACGAGCGTTGTTAACTGAGTTGCTATAATATGGCAATTTGCAGAGCTGAGACACCACTAACCGGAAAAGGGGTGCTGGTTTGCTTCTAACACTTCTATTGCTTGTTACACACCTGGCTACACTTCATGGCAAATGCTGATTTCTGCCTGGAAACTGAGGAGACGTTTACACAAGTTTTACTGAACAAAAGCTTCACCTCTCCAGCTGCTCTTTATGCATCAGTCTGCAACGAACCCGGAAGGCAGGCTGGCGAGTAGACTGTGGCTGCAGAGCCACTAGGGGGCGCACAAGACCATCCCCAGGGGCCCGGAGCTCGGCACAGGGATGCATCCCGGTTCTGAGCCCCTCAGGTTTAGAACATGAGGCCCGCTGGATGCAGGGGCCGCTCACTGACTTCAATTACAGCCGGTCACAATCAGGCATGTTTAAACAGCGAATGAGCCACGCTCCTTCAAGGCAAAGCCCTCGCTCTGGCAGTGCCCAGGACGCAGGGGGTCCTGGGCAGACACGTCGCGGGAAGCCATCTTGTGCTTCCCACGCGAGAGGAGGAAATTCCCGTACTGGAGAGAAGCTGTAAGCCCAGCGAAGGAAAACGGTATTTAAGGAGTGCAGAACCCCGCTGTTTTCATTCCGAGAACCCAGCACTTGCCAACCTAAACATTCAACCCTGATTCCGCAAGCTCCCGCCCCCCAGCCCGCCCACTCAAGCAGTTCGACTCACCAGAAGCTCTTTATACTTTGGCCTTTTGGACTCGTCCTTCGTAAGGCTACAAAAGATCAGAGAGGGGTTAGGAGGAGGCAGATCTGTAGCCACATTCCACAGAGGTTGAACACTGGCTGCATGGGACAGAGGACTGAGCCCACTGCATGACCTGGCTACTAGCTACACAACACAGGCAGCCCCACTTACCACCAGCCTGTTGTCCAGAGACCAACAATTTGGCTCTTGGAACAGGCCCTGATACTACACACTCTACATGAAACGTCTCCTTTCCACGGCATGTCAGTGCTGCCCAACTGACCCAGCAGGGACACGCACTGCAAGAGACAGCCCTGCCCAAGGCTTGGGGCCAGGAGAACAGCCACCCTGAGCATCTTAGCTAATGGACCATGAAGGTACATCTCCTGTGCCCCTGCCCCACCCTCCTGGTACCCCAGTCACACAGACTATGGCTGGCCCACAGCAGCCTCCCTCCAACACAGGGCAGGAGCAAGCACCCACCCTGCTCCCACCCCGTACACCTTCCGCCACAGTCACTGGGAGCCGTGGGGCTTATGGGTTCAAATGGCTCCTGATACTGCCTGCCAGGCTGGCAGAAGGGGGGTAGAGAGGGAGCCAAGGGGCACAGGGGCAGATCCTCTAATGCCACCCTGGCTCGCTTCCCCCATGCCCCACATCCCAGCCTGCTGGTACCCAAGAGACACTGCACAGCTGGGCTGCACGCTGCACAAGGGGTGCTACTAGCCACACTGCTTGGGTACCTTTTAGCGCCAGGCCCCGCATCCCAAGTCCATGCTCAGCTGTTGGTTTCGAAGCGCAGAGCACTCCCCCAGAGGAGCTGGGCAGGCCAGCCAGGGTGCCATTCTTAACCCACATGCCCAGGGGGCTGAGATGCCCCTGAGCCCTTAGGGTTGCTGGGAGGGGCTGCAACCAAGCCCCAGGTGCACATACCCAGTGTCCAGCCGTGTCGTGCTGGGAGCCTCGGGCCCCCTGGCCGAGTGGGTCTGAGAGCACAGACGAACAGGTGCAGGCATGCCAGCGACCAGCAGGTGGCAGCACGATCCTCAGCAAAGCAATTCCCATAGCAGGGCCTGCGGGGCTCCCCGGGGACTGTCCACACTAGTCTGCTGGGCCACAGTCAACAGACTGTTCGCAGGCTGCTGTGGATCCTCCCCACTCCAGTGGCACAGCCAGGATGGGCAATGATGGGGCCAGCCTGCCACGGGGAAGGGAGGAATCCACTGATCTGCGTGACCTGCTCTGCCTGTGGGGTGCTTCTGCTGGGGGGAAATTGGGGGCTTGCCCTGAAATGCCCCTCTAGGGTCCAGATGTGGGAGCTTGCCCTCTTCAGCTAGTGTGCCCAGCGCTGAGCAGGGGCAGGTCTTGCAGGGGGGCTTGCCCCATTCCAGCCACCCAGTGCTCCCGGCAGGCAGAAGGGTCAGGGTGCAGGGCTAGCTGCAGTGCTCCAGCCACATAGTAGGATCTGGGGGTCACAAGCCCCCAACTCTGTACACCGGATGAATGGAGCAGGGCTAGCCCCTAACCCTGTTCTCCAGGCCTGGCTAGAGCACTGGGCGGAGAGGGCAAAGCCCCGTGTTCAGGCGAAAGCAGAGCCAGGACTGGGGGAGGGGACCTAGATCCTCTGCCGGACAGACCGGCAGACAGACTGACTGGCCTGGGTCTCTACCCTTTCACAGGGACAGGCTGGCATGTGTCTTATCCCACCTTCCTAAAAGGCGCTATGCAGATCTCTCCCCACGTCTTTTCATCCCTGCCTCTGGGAAGAAACAGGTATGGGGCACCCCTTGTTTGCCTTCGGTCAAATTTTGTAGCCCTAAAATACTCCATGTAAGTTAAATTAATGTGCAAAAATGCTGAGAGCTTGATTTCAGCCGGCTGCAAAACATCCACGTGACTCCTCTGTTCCACACCTTTAAAGCGGGAAACACTTACCACAAGTTGACAAAGTTGATAAAACTGGGCGAGAATTCTCTTTCCTCTGAGTTATTCAACTGTGGTGGGTCTCCTTTTACTACTTGTGTCAGCTGATCAAATACACTATTCCATTTGGGGTAGGGGAACCGCCCCGTGGCCAGTTCATACTGCAAAGAGACAGCAAGAACACAGGCTGGGTTAATAAAACACAAAGGGTCCTGCAAGCTGGGTAGGAAAATATCCCCCCAGATGCCCAAGGAACACTCAGGATGGGAGTGGGAAGCTAGTTCTCCAGCTACGCTGACATAAACCCCCATTTCTTAGTGTCCTACAGGCAGTTGGCAGCATGGACATTTTACCCTGGCAGAGCAAGAGAATGAGCATTTCAGACTGTGGGGAGGAAGACAGCATCTTAGTAGTAGGGATGGAAGCAATTAGTCGACTAGTCGCTCCCCCCCTTGCTGCACGGGTGGGGGGAGCAGGAGCTGGTGCAGTTGCGAGCCAGGAAGCAGCTAACAGGCTCTTAATACATTTAAAAGGCACAGCTGCAGCAGGGTTAGTTCCCAGGCTGGGAGCTAACCCCACTGCAGCTCCCCCGTTTACTGACTAGTCAATGGAAAATCCATCAACTAGTCGATTATTTGAGTATACTACATTTAACATCCCTAATTAGTAGTGGCTCATTCTGCACTTGGGGTAAGCAAATTCTGGCTGCTTCTTACTAGTTACTCCCCATGTCGCCAGCTCCACCCCCTGTGAATAAAGTACTGCTCTCCGAAGGCATGGATACAGCCACTGAAGGAATGCGGCACCAGAGGGGGACCAGTGGGTGGGATGAAGAACTGGCTGAAACTTGCTGAGTAATAAAGGTCCACCCAAAGTCAGGGCTGCTCCGGGAGTTATTTAGGCAGACCCGAGGCCACAAAGGGAAACCAGCATTCAAGAGCCACGCCCGTCCTAGTGCTCCCTCTGTCTGTATGATGCAAGTTGCTATTCCCATCCCACAGCTGAGTGCACCTGTAAGGATTCAGGGAAGCCATCATCAGAACAGCGAGCTAATCAGTTCTCTAGCCTGTAGCAGGTGTCTATTTCCACCTTGGACTGGAAAGGGGCCTGTCCCCCCGACCCTGCCCACAGCAGAAGTGGACTGGAACTGGCGCCTCACACACAAGGGCAGGGCAGCTCAGAGCACTGTGTGTTTGCTTTGGAAAGCTGGCCAGCACTATCACTGTCTACAGGCGAGCCCATAACATGCCCCAAAGGAAAGACCTGTCCACAGGACACTGGCCAGAGCACTCACATACCAACGTAATTCCCAAGCTCCAGACATCTGAGCGGACGTCATAGCCTTGTCGGGATGCACTGGGGTCTATTCTCTCAGGCTGAAACAGAAACGCCACAGGTAAGCAGTGTGCAGCACAGGAAGGAGCGAGTGAAACGTAATGAGTAACGCAGCTCAGTACCCAGAAACAAGCCCCCTGTGCCTCAGCAGAACTCACTGCGGCAGACATCCAGCCCCCCGGAAGAGCACGGCCCTCACAGGTGCACTGAGGACTGAACACCAAGCTGACCTGCCAAGGAAACATGATGGAGCTTGCTCGCTTTGCTCTGACGTGACCACTCGAGGTTTCGTCACCTCAGAAATTCTCCGGCTAGCAAGTCTGGCCTTGCTGGTGTTCCTCGAAAGACCCTTGGAGCTGAAATGAGCCCTGGCCAGCCTTGGATGGGGAGGCCAAAGCACCCTGAGCACAATGTGTGTGTTGGGCAGTGAGTTAAATGGATGTTAACAAAAAGCCAAACCACACAAAGGGTCTTATACTGTCTAACTAAAACCTGGGGCTACCGGTGCCCCAGACTCCGGGTCAGGTGCTTGGGAGATCAGGGTGCTAGAAGTGCTGCTGGCCTCCCAAACCTGGTGCTCCAGGGAAGTGAGGTGTCTCAGTTGGGGACCACGTCAGTGAAGGCTGCCGGGGGGGGGGGGGGGGGCTAACTAGTCGATTATTTGAGTATACTACATTTAACATCCCTAATTAGTAGTGGCTCATTCTGCACTTGGGGTAAGCAAATTCTGGCTGCTTCTTACTAGTTACTCCCCATGTCGCCAGCTCCACCCCCTGTGAATAAAGTACTGCTCTCCGAAGGCATGGATACAGCCACTGAAGGAATGCGGCACCAGAGGGGGACCAGTGGGTGGGATGAAGAACTGGCTGAAACTTGCTGAGTAATAAAGGTCCACCCAAAGTCAGGGCTGCTCCGGGAGTTATTTAGGCAGACCCGAGGCCACAAAGGGAAACCAGCATTCAAGAGCCACGCCCGTCCTAGTGCTCCCTCTGTCTGTATGATGCAAGTTGCTATTCCCATCCCACAGCTGAGTGCACCTGTAAGGATTCAGGGAAGCCATCATCAGAACAGCGAGCTAATCAGTTCTCTAGCCTGTAGCAGGTGTCTATTTCCACCTTGGACTGGAAAGGGGCCTGTCCCCCCGACCCTGCCCACAGCAGAAGTGGACTGGAACTGGCGCCTCACACACAAGGGCAGGGCAGCTCAGAGCACTGTGTGTTTGCTTTGGAAAGCTGGCCAGCACTATCACTGTCTACAGGCGAGCCCATAACATGCCCCAAAGGAAAGACCTGTCCACAGGACACTGGCCAGAGCACTCACATACCAACGTAATTCCCAAGCTCCAGACATCTGAGCGGACGTCATAGCCTTGTCGGGATGCACTGGGGTCTATTCTCTCAGGCTGAAACAGAAACGCCACAGGTAAGCAGTGTGCAGCACAGGAAGGAGCGAGTGAAACGTAATGAGTAACGCAGCTCAGTACCCAGAAACAAGCCCCCTGTGCCTCAGCAGAACTCACTGCGGCAGACATCCAGCCCCCCGGAAGAGCACGGCCCTCACAGGTGCACTGAGGACTGAACACCAAGCTGACCTGCCAAGGAAACATGATGGAGCTTGCTCGCTTTGCTCTGACGTGACCACTCGAGGTTTCGTCACCTCAGAAATTCTCCGGCTAGCAAGTCTGGCCTTGCTGGTGTTCCTCGAAAGACCCTTGGAGCTGAAATGAGCCCTGGCCAGCCTTGGATGGGGAGGCCAAAGCACCCTGAGCACAATGTGTGTGTTGGGCAGTGAGTTAAATGGATGTTAACAAAAAGCCAAACCACACAAAGGGTCTTATACTGTCTAACTAAAACCTGGGGCTACCGGTGCCCCAGACTCCGGGTCAGGTGCTTGGGAGATCAGGGTGCTAGAAGTGCTGCTGGCCTCCCAAACCTGGTGCTCCAGGGAAGTGAGGTGTCTCAGTTGGGGACCAGGTCAGTGAGGGCTGCCGGGGGGGGGGGGGGGGGCTTTTTCTGTGAGTAAATGGCCCCGACCCAAAAAAGGTTCCCTACCCTGCCATAAATAAAGACAATGTTGAAACCTTTTGTGTTGGACATAAATTAATGTTTTATTTTATTTCAAATAAAATTTGGTAAACTAACATGAGAAAGTTAAAGTGCTTAATCTGTTTAATAATTGTGATTAATATTTCTTTCCTACTGGTTAAATTAAACCATCCTCCCTAGCACTAGCAAAATGGCTCAGGCGTAATTATGTAATTAATAGCAAGTTTCCATTAGCAATTGGTGGTCTGCAGAAAGATTTGCATTTGAGTAACGATGGGCTATGAACTAAAAAGTCTGAGAACCATTGCTACAGAGAAAGCCAATATCTGTTGGATACGGAGCACGTGCATCGGACTTTTGAAGGAATTAGCAGGTGGTTTAGGGAAAAATACTGGGAGTTGGAAGGGCTCATAGATATGAAACGAGGATGGAATTTTAGGTAAGAATTTGAGGTGGGTGCAGAGGGTGACCTTGTCCTTAAAAAACATGGGGGGACTAGGCTTAGGTCCCACAGGATCACAAGTGGTCTCACATCAGCATGGAGGATTTGGAGACCCTAGAGAAATTGTTTTGTGGTGGGATGGGTAAAAATGGAGACGTTACCCACCTCCTGATGGAGTGCTGTGATTGCTGCTCGATGAACCCAGAGAACAAAGGGGAGGCCCAACTGTCTGGAGTGTGAGGGGACAGTCCAGTACCAGTGGGAGTGGTGCTTTCACTGCATCTCCTTTGAGGTGCACCACATCGTGAACCGCCTCCTTTTACGAGTATAGGAGGAGCAGTGGAAGGCTTTTTGCTATGGAGGAGGACATGTTGCACCTGTTCTGAATTGTCTTGTTCTGTAGGCTGTGAGCTGGAGCCCTGGGAGATCTGGGTAATGTAGCTGGCCCGGTTCCTGAGTTAGGATTCAATTCAATACTATCAATTTAGGACTGAATAAGAATCTTAACTGGTTAACACATTACAAAGACTATCCACATTTCCACATCAACTGCTATGAATGACCACTTCCTCTCTTGACTTGATTAGCCTCATTTACACAAGTACCCTCTTTCTTTTGTTGTCCTTATAGATACCCTGATGTGATGGGGCAGGGCTGCCCTGCACTCCCACCCGGAAAGGGGAGATGGTGGCACGGCCGGGGATGTGGAGCGCAAGCCTCAGCACCGAGAACACAGCGCATGTGTCAGGAACCGAGCAGGCGCCTCAGTGTGATGTCAGCGGCTGGCGACAGGGTCCTGTATTGCCCTGATGTGATGGGGCAGGGCTGCCCTGCACTCCCACCCGGAAAGGGGAGATGGTGGCACGGCCGGGGATGTGGAGCGCAAGCCTCAGCACCGAGAACACAGCGCATGTGTCAGGAACCGAGCAGGCGCCTCAGTGTGATGTCAGCGGCTGGCGACAGGGCGAGGGTGTCACCACACCCTCCCCGAGAGTGGACGATGGC